GCTAGATAATTTTTTACTTTGCTTAAAATTTAGTTCTAATACTCCTTGCCTTACTCCAATCTGGTAAAGAAGATGAGAAGCTACAGAGTTTTTTGCGCAATTTCTCATTTGCTGTGCTTTATAACCTTGTTGTCAAGGGAGCCTTTTCCTTCTGCACGTGCATTGAATTTGGTGAATCCCAAAAGCGTGGATTTCCTGCACCTGGGCAGAGTGCTGTAGCACATGTACTGTAGATCTTGTGCTTCCCAGGAATGCTGAATTTATCATGTTTTTCATGCACAGCATGCAAGTGCACATTTCCTATAGTAAATCCATGCTCTCTGCTGCATCTGAAGGTAAAAAACTTCTGGAAGCAGATGGGTACCACCAGAACGACTCATGCAGTCTAGTCCTACCATCTTTTGTAAGTGTTTTGCAGAAGTAGGCAACAAGACTCTTGTGGGGATGAATTCTTCTGGTGGATGGAGCCCACCTGTAGCTACCTCCTTTCCAAAGGGCTAACTGGTCCTTCCCTCCTCCTGTTACCACATGTGCCTTCACTGCAATATCAATTCTGTGTTTGGGACAGATGACAGAGAGGGGGCAGGGCAGGATATCTCTGGCAAGATGGTGGCCATATGTGGGTTGTTGCCCTGAGTTTGCTCTTTGCTTATGTTTGAGAAGCTCTTGAAAATGGGGTGACTGCATGGAGGCTGCTAATAGGATAAAATCATTCTGGAGGGCTTTCTGTAACCTGTACACTGTTGGTTAGAAATCTTTGTTTTTAATAGGAGTCTTTCCCTCTGTGCATGTTTATGCAAAATAATTCCTTTTCTGGCAATGATTGCTTGTTGCACCATTTGCTACACTATTGCCTGTTTGATTTCTTTTTCACTTGTATTCGACCTTTTTCCTGGTGTTTGGATTACTGCTGATTTTTCTTGGTTCAGTTGATACTTGTCTCTATTTTAGGTCTGATGTGTATAATTTTTTTTTTTTCATCCTAGTGTTTTCACTTTTTATAGCTCTTTTCTGTTACATCAAAAGTCAACAGTTTAAGTTCCAACTGTTGTAGCATATGTAGTCTGGCTTCATTATCTCCTGTTGCCTTAAACTGTAATCTCTAAAAAAATTTACCAACAAGCATGCCAAATGTGCATGAGGAGTTGAATGATGCAGATCTGTGGGTGTTATTTTGATTTTGATACACTGAAAATACCCCTCTCGTTTTTAGGGATTAGTGAATACAATTTGTGTGACTCTCTACTGATGTTGACAGGTCAGGTGCCTGTACGTGACTTGTTACCCTAAGCTCCTCAGACAATCAGTGGAGATCTACTTAGTGTAATCATGAGCATTTTTAAGAAGAAGCCATCTCATCTCACTGTGCATACCTGCTCTAGACAGATGAATTATGCTGACAAATCCACTGACAATATATTGACTATATATATGTATGCATGTGTGCACACACATACGCACTATGTTGAATATAAAGGGAGTGACTACCTTGTGTGACTACACAGGCCGTGCACGTGAAGTTAGGTAAAATGAATCCTACCCAAACATTCAAAATTTTAGTTAAAGCTTTGTCAATCCTCTGCTAGGTCCAGACGACACAGGAGGCAGTCTTTGCCTGCTATCCCTGCTCAGAACCTTCGCTCTGATTTTGCTGCTTTCTTTATCTACTGCTGCCACTAAAGACTCTGCATTGCCTCAAGTCTGGTCCGTGAGTCTTGAGATCAGCTGCTTGTCTTTATTTTTTTGTGAATTGCATTATGATTCTGAGTTGAAAATACCAGTACTATACTAGATAGGACAGAGTGGGCCCTTAGTGCTCAAGGACATAGCATGTGCCTCACAATTCTTTTTGTATGAAGAGACAAAACGTATCAGAAGGGAGATGAGCTGCACTGATGCTATGGTTTTAAGGTAGTGCTGCAAAAATCAATTAAATAATAGTTTAAAAGAAGCAGAAACAAAATTGAAAGATATTCCTGCAGGTGTCTCCCCTCTACTCCCCCTTTTTTTTAGTCCAGATGGGTTCACTGGTGATATTTATAGTACAGTTTAGAAACAGTTGCAGTGGTACAGCTGAAGGGGCAGTATGTTGTAGCAAGAAACAGGAGTAAGACTGAATGTGGAAAGGAGTCTCTCAGGCCAGCCTTGCTTGTACAGGGAATGTTTTATGTGAAGCCAGACTGTGGGCAATGCACAGATGCTGGTGAACTAGTTATTAAGACTCAGGAAAAGCAGCTGAGATTTCTCAGGCTCAGGGAAGAATATAGTAGACTTCAGAAACCAGTAAGAGATGTGTGACAAGAGTGAGCAAAGATAAAGACATGGAAGTATTTCTGTGCAAGCCACATGGCACAGAGTAGGTTTATTCTACCTGAAAGAAGGTGACCAGACAGAAGCATGGAAAATACAAATAGGGGTTTGAAGTTTGTTTCCTCATCTTCCATAAGAGTTAGGTCACATCAAATAGATCTAGCAATTGGCAAGTTTAAAACAACACAATTATTCTTTTTTTTGCAGTGAATAATTAACCCTTGAGAAACACTACTGCAAGGTGATGTAGGTATAAAACTTTCTGGTTTAGGCAGACACATTCATGAGAGAAGAAATATGCTAGGGTCTTAAGGGTCTGGGAGAGTAACTTGGAAGTATCAGTGTATTCTTGCCCTGTTCTTACGCTTTTCCCTATATCTATAAGCCCTGTTGTGCAGGTGAACCTGTGGTCTGACCCAGCACAGCTGCTATTTTCTTCAGTGAAAAAAATAGCTGCTGGCAAGTGCATGTTGTTCTCATATCTACAGTAATACAGCTGTTCAAACAAATCTTTTAAGTTGGTAGTACACCAGCAGTCTGGTCATTAAGTTTTGTCAATATTTGGTTTAGTAAATAATTTTTACATTTGGCTACCTTTGATTTTTATAGGCCTTGGAGAATTCTGCTGATTAGTTGAAATGATTGATACTTACAGGAACAGGTCTAAATTCATTATGAAATAACAGTGAAGCATTCTAGGTAACTGGTTTTGTGCTGCTGCTTCATTTTTCCTCAACTTGTGTTAAGATTAATTAGAGGCCAAGACTTCCTTTTTCATTTCGCCTAAGTAACAGATGGACCTCTTCCTAAGATTGCTTCTCCTACTGGGCATGCATGTGCGTGTGTATTAGTAGACAAAACCTGTAAAAATTTAGTCTCCTGGCAAACTGAATGCTGAATGCTGATTGTTGAATAACATGGTAATACTGGTAAGTCTCATCCTGTCTTGGGTTAAGAACAAGTATAGGGATCTGTGTTAAACATGGAGTGTTTTGGCTCAGTTCAGAGTTGTGTATGTCTCTAGTACATACACAACTGTTTTGCTGCTTCCCTTTTCTTATACATTTGCTAAGGTCCCACTGGTGATCAGGGGAGTTTGCACTTGGATAAGCTAGAAACTGCAGAGGGATTTTTCAAGATCCTATCCTTATATCTACTAGTTTAGCAAGAGGCCAAATTTTTTAAGAGGTTGAATTGTTTGGATTTTGTCTTTTCTGTTAATTCATTTTCATCACGGCTGCATGGGGATATTGGTGGTGGTGTGTGTGTGTCTATTTAGGATTTTTTTAATTAATTTTATAGAAATTCATTGTAAACCTGAACTCTCCAAGATAAAATAATCCATTTGCAAGGTGCGTTCTGATAGCATAATCAGGCTTCTCTTAATGAATGCTGCCACATGTATGGAACAGTAAAGATTTCTTTTTTTTCCTCATAAAATAAGTAAAACGTAGTAATAAAATAAGTAAAACATAGTATTTGGTTACATTAAATATACATAATTCCTTACCTTCAACGTTTATGTAACTGAGGAACTTGGAATACTGTATTTTAGTGACATGAAAGGAAGCCATACTTGTCTTCCTTAAGCATGAAGCAGGCTGAAGAAGGACCTCACACAACCCTCTTGCTTTTCTAGAAGAGTTTTTAAACTTTTACATAGTTCTTTTGTTTGCTTTGTCCTCATTGCTTCATTTTACCTACATCTGGAGTTTTAAAAGTTGTGGATCTGCGCAGCTCTGATAGGTTTCTGTAGGCAGAACTGTAGGGTAAAGTATCTGTATGGGAAGCAGCTATAGGCTTTGCCACATTTCCTTTCAGCTGATGTATATCTGCCATTAACTCTTTCTGATGCTGTGATTGCACTTTCATTTTGATTGGCAAAATTCATTTAGTGCCCTTTCTTATCAAGCTACTGAGGCACATTTTCTGTCCCTGGAGATTAATGTATGACCAATGACAAACGTTTTTGACACCTGTATGCTTTCTGTCCTCCTCCCTGATATTATTCATAATAATGACTGTGTGCTATGCCTGTGTATCAGTGATTACAAAAATATCTCCTGGCTACTTATAGTTCTGAGTGCAGTTTGAAACTGTGACTCGGCTTCATATACTGTGATTCAGGTGGCTTATTGACTCCCAAACACTGTAAGACCAACTTCTGTGTATTATTTTTATTTACCAATTACTCCTCATTGCATTCTGTCTTCCTGAACTATGTACAGTGTTTCTGAATGACTGATACACTACTTTGGCCTTTATAAATTCTGAGATGTTCACTATGCAATATAAATCCAGTTTTTATCCCAAAGTGTTTCTACTCATCAGTTTTCTGGGAATATATGTTGGTCATTCTGAATGGAATCACAGTGTTTGTTTTTTCAACACAATTTCAAAACTGGATAAATACTGTAAGTAGAGTTTTGAGGAATTACAGTAATTTCAATTTGAATTTGTGTTTATACATTTATAATACCAGGAAACGATCCATAGAGTTCTGTTCTCCAACAATATTTGTTCTGTCTCCACCCTGAGAGAAGGTGTATAGATTTCTGAATTTGTACACATGTATAATTATGCAAAATAAATGCTCAGTTATAAAATTATATTCTGAAAAGAATAAGTCATTTGCCTTTAATAAAACACTTTTTAAGAGTCTCTGATAAGTATTCTTTTTTTCTTGACAGTCTGTGGTGGACGACTGGATTGAATCATATAAACAAGACAGGGACATAGCACTTCTGGATTTAATCAACTTCTTTATCCAGTGTTCAGGATGTCGAGGTACAGAACGTTGGAAACAAGTTGTATAGAATAAATCTGACAGTCATACAAACGTGTATTAGTGCAACTGCTGGTAAAGATGTGGGAGACACATGGATTGGTACTCCTCATATGTATGGTTTATATAGAAATATTGTCTACATTCAAGAATAATTTTATTTAAAGCTTGTTTGTCGAGGGCCTACGCTTTCTTTTTCTCACTTTCCTGTCATCATCCTAAAGTGCACAAATCCTCACAGAGGCACTCTATTCATCAGCAAAAGGACACAAAAGATCTGTTAATCAAGGTAGGCGTATCTTTACTTCCCCTTTCTGTTCCTTCCCCTTTTTATTACAAGAATTAGTAGGTGTAGCTATACCCTAACTTTGCTATTTTTTCTTTCTTTCTAGGAAAATGATGGGTTTTTAATCTGAAGAGGAAGGGATCAGGCTTCAGTTGACTTTGATTAGCAAGAAAGATTTCTTCTGGATGAAGCACCAATCTTATTTCTTCCTCTGTAACACTTTATCAAGTCAGCATCAAGTGGCCTGCCTTTTATATCCTGTTTAAGCAGTCTCCATTACCAGGCATGTGGCAGTCAGTCTTTCTAGCATTCTGTTGCCACACTGTACCTTCTAATGAATTTTTCATGTGTTGTCATCTTTCAGTTAACTCAGCCTTGAAAAGAGAGAATGATAGAGCTCTGCTTTCTCAGTAGCACCCAGAACCAAGCAATTTACTGTTTCCTGATGCTTCCTATAATTTGCTTTGAGTAGAGTTGAAAATAACCCACAATTCAGAAATTCTTCATTTTGTAACTGATATGGGAATATACCTTTAGACATCAGATGATCTGGGTAGAAGTCCCTTTTCTTCCTTCTTAAGTGTAAGGTGAAGTCCCAAGTACAGCACCAGAGAAATGTGAGCTGTCAGCAGCTTCAGCAACCCTTTTTCATAGCTTAAGGAAATAAACTTATTTTGTGGATGACATGAAAGACTGAAGCTCTGGAAGCATTCTGTGAAAGGGCTGAAGCTTATTAGGGTTTAGATCACTGGCCTGTGTCAATGTCTGTACTGTTCACACAGATTCCCTAAAATATTTTTCAGATTTATTTGGCAGCTTATGTGAAAGTAGTTGTGTTCTGTTTGCTTTTTTTTTAACACTCTTCTAAAGGTGTATGTGAAAAAAACCAACCCACAAGCTTCTTTCTAAGAATTGGGCTGCATTAAACCAAAGGGATCCTTGGCCATATGTTTTTATTCTTGTTGATGCAAGCTTTTGGTGGAGGCATGTCATAAATATCTTCATTCCCCTGCTGCTCTCTAATTTCTACTTCCTTTCATTCTCCTTGTTAGAGAAAGTAGCAGTCTTATAATTTCAGAAGATTTGTATTTTTTAAACCTCTTGTTACTGACTGATGCAGGCTGAATGCCCGCTGTCAGCCATATGCTGCTGAAGCAATTGCTTCCCAGAAAAGCTTTCTGTTATTGGCTGTGAAGCAGCAGCGCTTCAAGTGGCTGATGTGATTTACTTTTTTTTTTTTAATTATTTTAAAAGGTGAGTTTCTATCCATTTTCAGTACTCTGCTTTGTACCCTCAGGGATGTCTCATGCTTTAGTAGCCTTCTGGTCCTGAACAGCAATGATAGGAGGAAGGAAGCACAAATGACTTATCCCCTGAGTTTATAGTGTGGGGGGATTTATTTCTGTGGTGGAATTTTTGCAGTGAGTACAGTAACAGCTGTAAAACAGGGTTAAAATCCTGGCAGACAGTTCTGTTCTTTCCAATTTCCAGTAACATGCCTGTTTTCTAGAATCATTAAAAACTTGAGAGTGGATTTTATTGATAGTCCACTTAGGGTAAAATGCATACTAAACTGTCCTTAATGGAAATGGGGTATGGAAATCTGGGGATGTTTTGTATTTTGTGAGTAAGACCAAGTTTCTTTTTCATGGGAAGATTATATGCTCTATTAGGACATTTTTATTTCCCTTTAAAGATTTTGTTGACATTCTTGTTTGTTTCCATTTCTGATAAATAACAGCTCCTCATGAATGTCAATGGCTGCTTTATCTTCCTCAATGTTCCTTAATTTTCTTCTTTTCAGTTTGCTCCACTAACACTGTCTCGGATTCTCTGGCCTTCTTTCCCAATGTTGGATCTAAATGCTTACTGATAATATATCTAACTTTGTGATCATTAACTTGGAAGGGAGGAGGACAACTAGCTTGGGAGGAGGTTCCTCAGGAAGCTTTGAAAGTGGTGCTAGGTTTATAAATCTACCATTTTAACAGTGCTTAGAATTATTTGATATCTAACTATATGTAAAATACACTTAGCTTAACTTTTCTTTCAAAAGTTTTAAGCAGGTGAAGAGTGTGTACCTATTTTCTGACTTAAATTGGAAATAATTTAGGCACCAAACTGTTTTATTTAGCAACAGTATTGACCCTGACAAAAATATCTTTCTGTTTAGAGAAACATTGATTTTTATATATTTATCCCATTCTCTTGGGCAGTGCATACGCTTGAATGAACCTCTTGGCATCCTCCAGCTTTGCTTAGAGATGTTCCTGAAATGAGAAGTGGTCTCTTGTAAATATGAATAAGCAGGCATGTTATCTAAATTATTGATATTAAAAAATTGTAAAATTAACAAATTTTTCAGGTGAACTTTAAAGATCTGTGCAACTTAAAATTGAATAAATATAAACCAAATATTCAAGCACGTCTGTCCTTTGTCAACTCTTCTGGGTATCTATTTAATCAGTTACTTTCTATAGAATGTGTTCTGGTTCATACGGTAATGTCCCTTAAAACATGAGAGATTTGGTTTTAGCATGACTTCAGTAATCTTTCTGGGTTTTTAAAGGATCATTTGGTATAAATTAGAAGTTTGTCCTATTGAACTACCAAAAGCATCTCAATTCAACAACTAGATTTGCACGAGAGTTAAAAATCACTATTCATGCCATCTTTCCACTAGTTTGCCTGTTCAATCTGCACATTTGTTGCCTCTGCTGATTTTGTTTACAAAGAAGTGAAAATAGTTTCTTAAAGAATTTTTCCTTTATCTTGCTGTTTTTTTCTTCAAGAATACCAACAAAAATCCCTATCTTTCACAGTTTGCCTGTGTAGTCTTCTCCATGATAGTACATTGTATTTCTGTGACAGAAAAGTGGTTAACAAGGACTGATAAATTCACCTATTCACTTTTAGTTTCCTACTTTTAAAAAATGCATTGCTTCTTCTAGAGGAAGGACCTTGTATCAGATAGTACCTTAGAAAGATGAAAAAGTTAGTTTTCAAATACTTTTTCTTCCTGGAAAAACAGCAAATAAATGCTGTTTCCAGTCCTTGGAAAAAAAATAGGTTGGTTTGTTGGTAGTAGGTATTTATTTTCCACAGTATTCACAATCTGTAAAGCAGGTGGTGTTGTATTTACCTTCTTACTTCTCTGTCAGGAACTTAATTTAGGGTCTTGCATTTTTAGATAACAGGGAACTTTTTGAATTTAGGTTGTCATAATGATAAACCGATTTTTGAAATAACTTTCACTTGGCTGGGGGTAGTAGCGTATCCATACTACTGAGATTCACATTTCAAATGTTGTAGTTTGGTCTGTAGCATTGTGGATACAGGCATCCTCCTCCTCTCTTGCAGAAGAGTTGCAGATCAGTGTTGAGAGTTTTCTGGGGTTTTTTGAGAGCTCTTTTCCATTGCTTTCTTCTTTGTAGGAACATATTTTTGCTTTTTTCCTTTTTTTCTTTTCTTTTTTTTGAACACTTATGTAAAGCACAGCATAGTATTCTGAGATCTTTGAGCTAGTTGCAAGCAAGCTGTAATGTCTAATCAGCAATATGTGTGCCCAGGTCCCAGAAGGATTATAACTGTGTCAGTGTGATGCTGCATCTGGGCTAATTAGCTCTGCCTCTCAGACTGAGTAATTAGCTCAGGTATCATGCTCTGTTGCTATGACAACCAGGCTGTTTCCATTTCTGGAGCTCCATGGATTTAGAGCTGACTTGGGTATCTGCATTGCTGTCTGCTTTTGCCTTCTGTTATTGATATAAAACAAACAGAAAACCCCACAAGCACTCTGACCTTTCTACATTTTAAAGGCGCAGAGCCATGCTTGTGGAATTAATTTTTTTTTTTTTCCCTAACCAGATGCAATTAGTGGTTGAAACAGCCTCTTAAGCTGTGAAGGACAAACCAACCCATCAAGTCCATGTAAGACAAAAAGCTTTCTTTTGCAGGGGAGAAAGGTCTCTCACATAGTTGGGAACTACTTGACGGCTTTCAAGTATATAGTGAAATTATTCCCATTCCTTTTCTCCCATCCCTCTCCTTCCCTCTCATTTATTTTCTGATAGGTAAGCCACAAGCCTGTAAATTATTAAGCAGATTTTCAGAAGTGGTTTGAGCACTGCTTCCCCTGCTAGCCTTACATCTCTCTGTCAGACAGCTCTGAGACACCAGTTACTGATGGAACAAAACTGGTGAAACTCCCTTACTGTTAAATTCTTAGCAGTGTTGTAGCCTTCTCTGGCTTGCAAGGGGCTCTCCATTTAAGTATTTTTGTGATATGGCACACTGAAGTTGTTGTTAGGAGTAGCTGGTGAAGGAAGCAGGTGAATTTCTTTTATATGGTGTTTCTTGTATCTTATTATTCCCCTCAAAAATCTTCTCTTTAGGTTCTTGTGTGGAATCAAATGTTAATGAACAAATGTTCAAACTGCCACCTGTCAACTTTGACTGCTGGTGTCTAGGGTTGGGTTTTTTCAATTGTGAGTAAGCAGGAATCTGTGTATGAACTTTATGCCCAATGCTTAAAGCAGGACATCTTTGTGGAATTTTTCCTTGTGAATCAGGCACTTGGGGATCCACACTCTCTTCCAGCTTGAGCCTTGAATCTCTAGTTGTTCCTTACATATTGTAGTAATGAATTAGCTTGTTTGAATGCAGGATGCATGCTCATTTTGATTTTTATTAATGTTCTATGCCCTTAATTAAGGG